CTCTGGAACCCCCAACCGCTCCGCCCCTTCGGGCCAGCGCAGCCTCCGCGACCTTCAGCTTCGGCGGCCTCGTCGTCGCCGTCTGCGCCCTGTGCTGCGGGTTCGCGCTCGACAGACCTGGTAACTGCAGCCCCCCTGGGCCGACGGGTGGCCACAGGCCTTAATTCGGGGGAGCGACTCAAGGGCCAGGTCGGAAGCCCCCGCCAGCTCGCGAGCGACCAGCTGATGACGCACTACTTGTTGGACAGGAACCCCGAGGCCAAGAAGGGGACCGCCCGCGCCCACCACGATTGGATAGACACCGTCGAGAAGGCTACGGTTCAGCACCATGGGCTATCCGCAGAGATTGGCACGCGTCGTTGCGGTCGCGGGCTCGGATTCTCAACTGTCTGGAATCGTGCCAGCGCCACTCCTGCTCGCGCACATCTGCGCCACCAACTGCTGGAGTGGTGGCACCTTGCCACTGCGTTGCTTGTTCGCTACCAGACGACCCGACGTCGCAACGCCACCAGGGAAGCCACCGCGCTCAGCAGCAAGATGGCTGAGCTCCTGCAGGTCGCCCTCGACAATGAGCTTCGGGGGCCTTCCCAGCAGGACGACGACGGGGTCTTCATTTCGCGGGCGGCGGCGGTCTCGGACCTCTACCAGCAGAGCGACGCCGACTTGCCAGACATCATCGAGATTGCCGAGCGTTTCCTCAGCAGAGCCACGGGCAGGGCGCCCGCCGACGGTCGGCGCGCATTCAGCAAATGGGCGTTGAAGACGAGGCGTGGCGCCCCAGGTGCGCTGCGCAGACGCGCCACACCTCCACGGCCTGGCCGTGATGAGCACGACGATAGCTCAGGCCAAACTGTCGCCACCCCCCGCCAGATCATGGACAGGCGCGCAGCCGCCGGGCAGGACATCTGGACAGACGCACATGCCACGCAGTCAACCATCCTCGAAGGCCTGGAGTTCGTGATGGGCAGGGCCCACCAGGAAGACCTGGGGCCCATTTCCCTCGAGCAGCTCGACTCCGTCGCCAGCCGCGCGAACGCCAAGAAGGCGAAGGGCATCGACCCCATGGGCCCCGTCGGGGTATAACGCCTACCTGCACCTGCACGCCAGGAGCTCGTCTCGATACATGCGTCCATCGAGGCCCAAGGCACGTGGCCAGCCCAGCTTTTCGCAGCGCTGAGCGCCGTCGTTCCGAAGCCCAAGGGCGGCGACAGGATCGTGGTGCAGCTATCGTTCTCGATGAAGCTCGGGTCCAATATCAGATACCCCCTCTCAGAGTGTTGGAGTGAGGATCTCGCCGGGTTCTGGGACACTGCGGTCAGAGGATCGTCGTCCTTGCAAGCAGCCTTGGTGAGACGTTGCATGGACGAGTGTTGCCACTTGTTGTCCATCAACAGCGGCACGATCGCGTTGGATCTTGAGAAGTTCTACGACCGTATTTCCATACCGCTCCTTTGCCAGGCAGGCCGCAAGCAGGGCTTCCCAGCTATCATCTTGGCGCTGGAGCTGCAGATGTTCATGGCGCCGAGGTATCTGAAAGAGCGGAGATGGGTATCCAGGGAGACCTCGCCGTCAAAGTCTGGTCGCGGGCTCTCCTCAGGGCGACAAACTCACGAAGGCCATGTTTGGGCCATTTCTGCACGGGTCACACTTGTGCTACCAGCGCAGCATCATGATCAGGACCTTCATAGACGACGCCGTCATCCGAGCTAAGGGCACGGCCAGGTCGGCCACTGGCACGCTGATCGAGGCCGGAGAGTTCGTGGGCCAATGATGCAGAACAAGACGGTTGCAATCGACACGACCAACACCATGGCCAAGCAGGTTGCCCAGGGTTTGGAGCAGTTAGGCATCCCAGCTCGAACGGCTACTACCGCCACCGACCTTGGATGCGACGCAGCTGCTGGTCGCGTCCGCACTCGAGCGGAGGCCCGTGACAGGGTGAGGAAGGCAGCCATGAGGCCCCACGCGATCGGCTAGGTCAGACGGATCGCCAAGCTCCGTTGCGCCGCGCAGGGGTTGCGGCGCACTGGCAGTCCCCCTCAAGCACTGCACGGGCACCCGCAAATTGGCGCCCCATCTCCGTCGGCAAGCAAGTCGATCCGCCGCAGGTCATGGGCCAGGCAGATGTTTGTCACTGTGCTCACCACGGCGTTGGGAGACGGTGACCGAGCCAAGGCAGCGCGGAGGCAGCAGTTGTCGGCGTGGTTAACGTTGTGGCGACAGAACCCAGAGTTGCACCCACGCATTCAGCAGGCGCGGTCCATCGTCGCTCCCAGGTTCAAGAGTGCAGGTCAGAAGAAGTGGCGCATCGTGAAGGGCCCCGCCGCCGCGACCGCGGCCACCCTGGTGGACATCGGACGGGGCCCTGTTGCAGCCACGCAGCGGGACACTGACGGAGGGCATTCGTGGCTCACCCCGACGGTGTCCGACGACAATTTCACGGAGATGGCCAGCGACTTCGCGCAGCTCCTCGATTACGTCTCCAGCTCCATCGACATGAAGCTCTGGAGCAAGGCGCCCCAGCATGAGGCTGCTGAGGACCTGCGCGCTGGCGCTGACCTCATGCGCGTCTCCCGCGAGATCGAGAGGTTCAGCGGGGCCGACGGGTTCGGCCAGGTCGGCCTCGCCACCACCGCCACCACTGGCGGGCAGTGGCCGCGCGTGCGCCTCCGAGCCGCTGGCTACGAGGCATCAGCCACGCGTGCGCGGCGCGGAGAGGCTGACGAGACATTATTTCATCGATTATGGAGCTGTCCAAAGAATTGCGGCCACAAGGGCGACGACGACAGCGCGCACCTCTCCGAGCAGGCGCGGGTCAACTGCGAGGCGAGCCCTTCGTTGTGACTCAGGGGCGTCCCGAGGCGCGCTGACACGTGCCCTGTGTTCGATGAGGAAAAGGCGCCTGTTTCGTCCGAATGCGGTAGCTTTCCCTCCCCACCCCGCGACGCCGAAGGTTTTGCCAGCGTCTGCGGGGGCGGTTCGGGGGGGCGAGTTATCCCACGACCCTCGGCGCCGCAGGGTCGGAACTGCGATTGTCGCCCTCGATGGAAGCCCGTTTGACTGGGAGCCGTGCGCGGGGTTTTCGATTACCGCCCCCAGGAAGGCCCAGACTGCCCCCCGCGCTGAACTCACAGCTTTCGCAGATGCTCTCGAGAGGGCTGTAGGAAAGGTAAGATATATAACCGTCCACCCCCCATCCTCAGAATATGGCCCCAAGGCGGTAACTCTCGTCAGTTGCGCAACGGTGACCTGTGGACCGGGATCTCCAGGGCTGCGAGGGGGAGGGGCTCGGAGGTAATTGTTGAATGGGCCCCGTCTCAGGTGTCGGCTGAGGACCTCGCTTGCACCAGCGAACGCGAAGTTTACCGTGCTGTCGGTGACGTTAATGTGCGGACATTCTCGTTGGTAGGGCTGCTCGATTGCATTGGAGCGAATTCACCTTCGGCTTTGTCCCCGAGACCGGCCGCAGGGATGCTGAAGCGGCCCTGGTCCGAAGGAGGGCCCGTAGAGCTCTGGGGGAATCTGTCCAAGCCGACCCATGGACCGCGGCCCGCCCCGAGCGCCCCGAGGTTCCTCCCGTGCCAGCGTTGGCCCGAGCGTTGAGATCTTCCGCCCACGAGTGGCGGAAAATTGGTCCGATGTTCATTTGTTTGTGTTGCTCCCGTTTCGAGACGAGGACCTCTATTATGCAGGCTGCCATAACCAGGTGCCAGGCCAGGCCAGTGGGTGGCGGCATCCTCCCGTTGAAGGGGCCCCAGGATATGGGAGGTCAGAGCCTCCACGTCCCGCCGCCTCCAGTTTTGGGGGCGCTATGGCTTAACTGTTTTGTGCAGCCTGCGGCAAAACCGCCAGTTGTGACCCCAGGTGGCTTGTAGACAGGTGTTCCCCCAGCAAGAAGGAGGATGATAATCTCAAGCCAATTCAGAGCGGACGCTACCCCCACCCTGGGGGCCCACCGCAACACGTCCGCAAAGCCGAGCTCGCCCGCCTCGCGCGGCCGCCGCCTGAGCAGCAGCCCCAGGACCGCCGCGGGGAGGAAGGGGTTTCCATCAGTAAATCTGTCTGCTTTTAGTTGTAAGACTTCTGCTGCCTTTCATGCTCGCATTCCTCCTCCTCCTCCTCCTCCTCCTCCTCCTCCTCCTCCTCCTCCTCCTCCTCCTGCTCCTGTTCCTGCTCCTGCTCCTCGCGGGGCGCGGGGGGGGGCGTCTTTGAGGGGAGCCCCCACAGCAGCCCTCTCGGACCAGGCGTGGCTTGCTGCGGGGCCGCCTTGGTTCGATCTTGGAGCGCAGCGGGGCGATCCAATGACCCCCCACGCACTGGAGCCAACGATGCGGAGGTGTCTCGTCGTGTCCTGCCTTGGGGGGGCCCTCGCCTGGCCATGGGGCGGTCAAATAACGGTTCGGGGACTTCTCAAGACCCCGTATAGAAACGACAACACATCGGACGTCTTGGATATTGAACGACCTGGGGCCTTCGTGTTTGGGGAGGGGGGGCGGCTCTCTGGCCGCTGGGGGGGAGGGGCAACCCGGATTGCAGACCATGGGCGGAGGCGTTGAGGGACAAGCAGATGAGGTTTCTTTTTTTTCCGCCCTCACCCTGCACCTCGGCCTCCCTCCTCTCTCCTCGAGCTCCTCACCCCCCCTCCTTACGCCCCCGCCTGTCTTCGCTCTCCCCCCTCCCCCTGCCTCGCCCCCCCATTTTCCCCCTGCACCCACCCTAGTCTTAAGTCGGGCCTGTCCCTCTACAGGAAGAAATTCAAAAATGGCCAAAAAATAATCAGGGGGCGATTTGTTCTACCATTTTTGAACATTTTTAAATATGTTTACGTATATTTAAAAATTTTCGTCCAAAATCCCCCGGTAGGGGACAGGCCCGACCTCACTCTCGTCCCTCCCCCGCCTCGTCGTCGTCCTCCTCCTCGTCGTCATCCTCCTCGTCGTCGTCGCCGCCGCGGCCCGCCGCGGCCCATGGCCCACCCCGCGGCCCCGCCGCGCGGAGAGGCCCGCGGGCTGCTCTCCCTCGTGGACCTGGCCGGGTCCGAGCGTGTGGAGCGCTCCGGGGCCACCGGCGACCGGCTGCGGGAGGCGCGCGCTTTTTTGCGGCGGGCGGCACGCTGGCACGCGCTCCCCGGACCTCGGGCGTCTCGAAAAATCGAGACGGAGGTTTTTCGTCGTTTTCGGCCTCTCGGGGCCCTCGCCGGGCCTCGGGACCGTCCAAGAACGACTCGGGATGAAGAACCGGTCCAAGGGAAGTGGTCGGGAGGTCGGGGGCCCGTGTCTCGAAACAATTGAGACATCGGATATTTGGGTCGGCAGACGCGGTACGCGGCGGCGGCGCCACGCGGCAGCGGCCGCGGTGCGCGTCGTCGGCGCGCGTCGGCGGCCAAGGGCGAAGCGGCGGCGCGCGCCAGCGGAAGCGGCGGTGGCGGCGAGGCGGCGGTGGGTGCGGCAGCAGCGCTGCGCGGCGGCGGCCAGGCGGTAGCGGCATGGTGGCGACGGCGCGTGTCGGCGACGCTCCCCGCCCACTTGGCGTCGCGGGGGCGGAAAGGGCGACGTGATGATGAGACCTTGCTTGGGCCCTTGGGCCCACGCGGGGAGCTGCAACAAGCTGGAGGCGTCCACAAGGGGGTGACGCGAGGGGATTGGGTTTCCGAGAAGGCGGGGCTTCCGAGCCATCTTGGAAGCCGCCAGAGCTTTCTAAGCAGGTTCTGCCTTCTAAGAAGCTCACCCGCCTTCTTAGAACGGGCACCTGGGCACCCAGGCACCTGGGCACCCGGGCACCCAGGCACCCGGGCGTGCCGCCGAAACATACGAATCCGTTAGGACCCTTAAAGAGGTAAGCTCTGACTTGGAAATATACACAGAACGTCTGGCGTCTTGAATCCCCCACCAGGCTGTATATATATACATATATATATATATATATGTATATATAGATGTGTATGCAGACATACAGACATACAGACATACATACACACATGCATGCATGCATACATACATACATGTGTACGTACGTGCGTGCGTGCGTGCGTACATACACAGATACAAATTTGCATACATACATACATACATACATGCATGCATGCATGCATGCATACATACATACATACATACATACATATATACATACACACATACATACATACATACATACATGCATACATACATACATACACACATACATACATACATACATACATACATACATACATGCATACATACATACATACACACATACATACATACATACATGCATGCATGCATGCATACATACATACATACATGCATACATGCATGTATACAGACGAACATACATACATACATACATACGTACGTACAGACAGACAGACAGACAGACAGACAGACAGACAGACAGACAGACAGAGACAGACAGACAGAGACAGACAGACAGACAGACAGACAGACATACAGACAGACATGCATACAGACAGACAGACAGACAGCCAGACAGACAGGCATACATGCATACATACATACATATATACATATGCAATAAATATGAAACATCAGTATACAAGTCGTATAAATAGGTAAACCATAGAATTTGGGTGTATGCGAAGGGGCGCCCTGAGGGTAATGGGTCCTGGAGGTGACTCTTCGTTCTTTCGAGCCCCTGGGGCCCTCCCCAGCCCCAGGAACCGTGCAGCAGGGCAGGTCAAAGACCCGATCCTGGGAGAAGGCCCCTGGGCCCAGGTCATGCGGAGTCGTCTGTTCCTAGTGTTCTCGCCGCCCACACGGCCGGAAGCGGCCAGGGGAAAGCTGGCCAGGGCGGGCCCAGGGAGGGCTCTGAGGGCAGATTGGTGAGCAGACTTGGTCCTTGAGGCAGGCGCGGGACGAAGATAGGTTTCATTCAGGCCTGTCCCTCTACAGGAGGATTATTCACAAATAGTGAAAATATTGTCTGGGGACAATGTTTTAAAGCTATGTTTGACCATTCGGGAGTTTTGTTTGACTATTTACCTAACAGCGAAGACTGATAGGTTTCTAGTTGATTCAAAAGAGCTCACAGATCACTCCACAGGGGGGTCCGGGCAGGTGTTGGGAGTTGCCGGGCGGCAGGTGCCGGGCTCGTTTTTCGCCAACAGTCACACACTTCGTGCTCTTCGATTTCCCAGAACTCCATTCCCAGGCCACATTCTGGAGGGCCGAATGCAACAGTCACACACTTCGTGCTCTTCGAGTTCCCAGAACTCCATTCCCGGGCCACATTCTGGAGGGCCGGATGCAACAGTCACACACTTCGTGCTCTTCGAGTTCCCAGAACTCCATTCCCGGGCCACATTCTGGAGGGCCGGATGCAACAGTCACACACTTCGTGCTCTTCGAGTTCCCAGAATTCCATTCCCGGGCCACATTTTGGATGCCCGGAGCCAACTGTAGGCCACTTCCTGGTCTTCGAGTTCCCAGAACTCCATTCCCGGGCCACATTTTGAATAGCCGGACGCAACAGTCATACAATTCTTCGTACTTGACACCCCAGAACCTGATTAACGGGATGCAACAGAAATGCATTTCGAGCTCTTTGGCATCCCAGAACCCCATTTCCAGGCCACATTCGGAATAACAGGATGCAAGAGTCAAACACTTCGTGTCCGAGACCTCCCAGAACGCCATTCCCAGGCTACATTTGGAAAAATTGCACACAAGAGGTATACACGCCGGGTTATCTGGCTGTCTGGAACGGCAATCCCGGGATACATTCAGAGTAATCCCACGCGACAGTCACACACTTTGTGCTTTGTGACCTCTCAGAGCTTCATATCTGGGCGACACTCCTGGGCAACACTCGTTCTCACACTATCATGCAACACTCATACACAGTGTCCTTGTCGTCTTGTCACATCTCAACTTTCAATTCCCTGACACAACCGTCACACACACACTGATTTCTCTGAGTTTTCACTAGGTTTGCCGAGGCTGAAGGCAGACTGAGGCTGAGGCTGAAGCAGGCTGAGGCTGAGGCTGAGGCAGGCTGAGGCTGAGGCAGGCTGAGGCTGAGGCTGAGGCAGGCTGAGGCTGAGGCTGTGTCTGTGACTGCCGTTGCCACTGCGACTGTCATCGCGAATGCGACTACGACTGCGAGAACAGCACAATTCTACAACTGGATTCTCATCTGAATCTTAAGGGGAATGCTTCCAGATATGCTCCTACACATCGCTGTTAGGTTGCTTTGCCGGGATAATTTTTATTGTTCGTCCAAAATCCGCCTGTAGGGGGACATGCCCGACCTAAAGATAGGTCGACCCAGAGCGTTCCAGGACGCTCTGAGAGCCAGAGCGTTCCGGAGGCGGGCTGGATCGGCCGCGGCGCCCAGGGCGTCCTCCGAGCTTTCTGGCCCGCAGCGCTCCTGATGGACAGCTGCCCGGCCCTGTCCTCTTCCTGCCTGCGCGATGTGTTGCGTGTGTGTATGCTCCGCTGTGCTCGAAGGTTTCCGAAGGAGGAGGAGGAGGAGGAGGAGGTGAAGGAGAGGGAGGAAAGGGGGGCCTGAAGAAGTCCAGAATGCAGCAACGATCATCAAGACTTCTCAGAAGCACCCCTGCCTCTCGGAAGGCGCGGTTCTCGTCAACAGATGCGAGGCCGTCGCCTTCTGCAATGATTGCCCTCACCTGCAGACTTCTTCGAGCAGTCCACGCGCCAGTGAGCCGGGGTACAGTCGTGTCCTGCCCCCTCGCGGGGCCCCTTCTCGGGTCGGGCGAAAGAGGGGGGTTGGGAAAGGGGGGGGTACGAAATCTGCTGCATGCAGCTGGTTTCGGCCCCGCCGCCGGGCCCATTCCTCGATGCATGGGCGCCTACCGGCGCCGGGAGGCGCCGGTAAAGTTAGCTGCGTGAGCTGATTCTCACCCCCCTCCCCTTTGCTATCCCCCCCTTTCGCCCGGCCCGACCTTCTGGGCTGGGGCGCTTTTCTCTCCCTCGGAGAAGCCTTCCCCTCCCGGGGGCGCGCAGGCAGTGGCGCGCCGCGCCTGGGCCAGCGAGCGGCCCCTCTCCCGGGGGGGGGGGGGCGCGCGCCTTCGCGAGGGCGCGGCGTCGCCCGCGCCCCTCGGGGCCTTCGGGCGCGGGGTCGGCGGCAGCCCGCGCGGGCGGGCCGCGCGGGCGGCCCCCTCTCGGCCTGCGCGGGCGGGCCGCCGGAGGCTCAGCACATCAACCGCTCCTTGTCGGCGCTGGGCGACGTGATCGAGGCGCCCGCGCCTCCCATTTGGGGGGGGGCTGCGCCCCCCGCGCCGCCGGCGCCGAGGGGCGCCGGGCTCGCCCCACCCGGGCGGTCCTGCGCCCTCCGCTCGGGCGGGCGGTACGCCCGTGGGCTAGCCCACGGCCCTGGCCTGGCCTGGGCGATCTGCTTGGGCCTGGGGCAACGCTGTGCGTGCCGCCATGGCCGAGCCAGGAGCGGTGGGATCCAGACTTCGGGGCCTCGCCGCCGGCGCCCCGCCGAGCTCTTGGCCAGAGGGCACCCCCAAACCCTCTGGGAGGAAGGGGGGCCGCCGACCCATCCAGCTCGGGTCGGGCGGGGGAGGGGGCCGGTCGGGGGATCGGGAAAGAGAGCGTCCCTGCCTAGATTCTGGACCATACCGTCGAGGCCCTGAAGAAGGAACCCTTTTCGTTGGGGAGGAGCTCCGCGTTCCTCAAGTGTTTCACAGCTTGCCTCAGGTTGTCCTTAGGTTCGATAGGAAATCGAAGTTTAACTTATGGAAAAAAAGGGCCTCGTTCCTTATTTAGGGTTCCTTAGGTCAACGCCCCGACTGTATACCTGCATGGCACTTCGCCCCTCCCGCGCCCCCTCCCCCCGCCCCGCCTCTCTCGCAGACAGCGCTGGGCCGAGGAGGCGCGCAGGGTGCGCCCCGACCTGGCGCGAAGTATCCAGGCCTCCCCTCGGGCCGCGCCGCGCGCCCCCCTCGCCCTCCGCCTCCGTGCAAGCAGGCGTGCCCGCACGCAGAGACAGGTCGGCACAGGGGGGGGGGGGGCCGCAGGTGGCCACCCGCGGCCGGCGTCGGCCCGCCTCCGGGCACGCCTCCTCGACGCGCTCGTGGCCGCCGCGGGTTGCTGGGTCAGGAGAGGAAAAAACACACAGACACCATGAATCGCCGATTCCGAGGAAGATATGGGAAAACATGGAAAGTGTGGGGGGGGAGACAGAAACCCAGAAAATATGAGAAAATATGGGGAATATTTTTCTTTGTGTGTCTTTATTTGTGTGCCCTGGGGCCCCTTCCCTGGGGCCCGCCGGGAAA